ATATATTTACTTTAGATTTGAAATTAAAAAATATATATATATCATTTTAGTTATACTAGTTAGTTAACAGTAATATAAAGATAATTTTTTTCTTTTTTTTTTATATAAAAATAATAATGTCACGTAAAATAGGAATATTTGTGAATATAATAAAATAAAATATATTTTTAAATAGTTAATTTGTAACTATATCCAAAAATATAAATATGTATATTATTTTTTTTTTTAAAGAAGGGAGGTAGTATAATTTTATAAAATAGAGAATATATTTCTATGTAAATTATATTGTTGAAAAAGAATAGCAAACCATAAGTAAGAACGACTAAACTACATGCCTTCTAAATTTAGTTGATTTTACATAAAATCAAATTCTTGTGGTGTGTCATGAAAACATAAGATTTATTTATTTTAACAAAATGTTTGAAACAATGAATGCTAAAAAATTGCCATGATTATTGAAATAAATGAAAATTGATTCAATATATTTGTCACGGTTACAATGTTTGATTAAATATAATCAGCTCATACAATAATATATCCAAAAATCATATTAGTATTATGAGTCATTATTTATTTATGATAGGTGTCATCTTATTACCTTAACACATGTCTATGTTTGATGACTAATTGCAATGAAAATGACTTATAAATAAGTCTTGTATCTAATGTAAATAAAAATGACTTTTCATTTCTTGATATCATACTCTCTCTCTATCGTCTCTCTACTCTCTCTCTAAAATATATATATACTTTATTACACATCTATACATATACATATACATATAGTATATATATATTACATATCATATATTTTATACACCATACACATATATATCTATGTTATCTTATATAAAATATATATTTGTTATATTTTATAACACGTTATCAGCACGAGGCTTTGCCGAGGAAGTGCACATAAAAGATAGCGTATTTTTTTTTGTTATTTTTGTTGTATTACTCGGAAGATTGCGGAATTTTTGGTAAGTATTTATTTTCTTTTAATTATGTCTAATATAGCAAAGTTTGAATTTCCCCTACTGGCAATTACTGGAAATAATTATATGTCGTGGGTAATGGATGTCGAAATGCACCTCGAATTCATGGGGCTTTCGAAAACAATAATTAGTGAAAATGAATGCACAAATCAAGAACGTGCAACGGCAATGATTTTCTTGCGTCATCATATTGACGAAGCCCTAAAAATGGAATATTTAATGGTGAAAGATCCATTTGAATTATGGACAAATTTGAAAGATCGATTTGGACACTTGAAATCTGTTATATTACCGAAAGCGAAACATGCATGGCATCACTTGCGTTTGCAAGATTTTAAAACAGTTGCTGATTATAATTCCATGATGTTCAAAATCACGTCCCAGTTAAGATTTTGTGGAGAAAATATTTCTGATAGGGATATATTGGAAAAAACATTTACCACGTTTCATGCCTCTAATATAGTTTTACAGCAACAATATCGAGAAAGGGGTTTTAATAAATATTGTGATCTTATTACTTGTCGGCTTGTTGCTGAACAGAATAACGAATTATTGTTAAAAAATCACGAATCGAGGCCAACTGGTGCGGGTCCATTTCATGAAGTGAATGCAACTCAGTGTTTAAATAATATGCCTAGATTCTACCGCGGACAAAGTCGCGGACAAGGCAATGGACGTGGATTTAGTCGTGGACGTGGATTTGGTCGTGGACGTGGATTTGGTCGTGGACGTGGAATGAGTCGTGGACGTGGAGCCGACCGTGGACGAGGTCGTGGCAGGTTTCTTTATTACCGTCAGGGATATTTTGATGAGTAGGAATCAAATAGGCCTATGAAGCGGCCTCAGAACGATATTGGTCAGAGTTTAAAGAAAAACGAGGATAAGTGTTATCGTTGCGGAATGACAGGGCATTGGTTCAGAAATTGTCGTTCCAATTCTTATTTTGTTGAGCTGTTCCAAAATTCCCTGAAACAGAAAGACAAAGTGCCTGAAGAAGTCAAAGCACCGGAAAATGTCAATCCCCCATAAATTAATTTTTCAGAGAATGTTGCCAATGGAAGTGGGGGTGATAAATGTAATGATAATACACAGCTAGATGTATCTGATTTTCTAGTACACCCTGAAGGTGGGTACTATGAAAATCCCGGAAATGCGATATAAAATGCATATAGATGTATATATTTTTGTAACACATGTAGTTTTTGCTCCCTACATTTTCTAATGATATGACAACTATGTATTTTCTCCAAATTTTTGATATATTTATTCTTATATTTCTCCCAGAAGAAGAAATATGAATGTTGAGAACGTTATAATGAATAATATGGAAGACAGTTCATGTCTCATTGATAGTGCATCAACGCACACTATTTTGAAATATAAGAAATATTTCACCAACCTGAAGTTGGGAAAAATTGAGGTGAATACCATAAGTGGTTGTGCGAAGTTAATTGAGGGCTCTGGAAGAGCGATAATATTTCTCCCCGAAGGAGTAAAACTTGATATCCAAAATGCACTATATTCTAGTAAATCTCAAAGAAATTTGTTGAGTTTTAATGATATTCGCAGAAATGGATATCATATTGAGACATCAAGTGTAGCAAATAATGAATTTTTGTTGATTACAAAATTCATTGATGGACATAAATATATATTAGAAAAATTGTCTTCATTATCTTCCGGATTATATTGCACAAAGATTAATGTGGTTGAAACATATCTGGTAGACCAGAAGTCTACAGATTTTATGATTTGGCATGACCGGTTTGGGCATCCTGGTAATACTATGATGAGACGAATTATTGAGAATACTAAGGGCCTAACTTGAAAGATCAAAGGGTATTAAATACAAATGAGTTTATATGTGTTGCTTGTTCAAAAGGGAAGTTAATAACTAGACCATCACCGGCAAAAGTGAGAACTGAATCTCCTTCATTTTTAGAACGAATTCAGGGTGATATATGTAGACCTGTAGATCCACCATGCGGACCATTTCGATATTTTATGGTACTTATCGATGCATCTACTAGATGGTCGCATGTGTGTTTATTATCTACCCGCAATTTGGCATTTGCGAGGTTGCTTGCTCAAATAATTAGATTACGAGCTCAGTTTCCATATCACCCAATAAAGAAAATTCGTCTTGATAATGCTGGTGAATTTTCATCCAAAACATTTGATAATTATTGCATGTCTATTGGAATTGACATTGAACATCCTGTACCTCATGTACATACTCAAAATGGTCTAGCTGAATCACTTATAAAAAGGCTGCAATTAATTGCAAGACCTATGCTAATGAAATCCAAACTTCCCGTATCTGCTTGGGGATATGCAATTATGCATGCAGCAATACTGATAAAATTAAGACCGACAAGCTATCATAGCTACTCCCCAGTACAATTAGTGTACAATGAAAAGCCCAATATTTCACATTTGAGAACTTTTGGGTGCGCGGTTTATGTGCCAATTGCACCGCCCAAACGTACAAAAATGGGCCCCCAACGGAGATTGGGGATATATGTCGGGTACGAATCACTATCTATCAATAAATATCTTGAACCATTAACTGGTGATTCATTTACTTGCTGATTGTCATTTTGACGAGTCGCATTTCCCGATATTAGGGGGAGAAACTGATCAACTGAAAAAGGAAATTACTTGGAAAATACCATTCAGTTTTCTTGATCCTCGTACAAGTCAAAGTGAATTAGAGGTACAAAGAATTTTACATTTGCAGCGAATAGCAAATCAGTTGCCTGATGCTTTTTGTGACGCCAGCAGGGTCACTAGATCTTATATAGCTGCTGAAAATGTACCTGCTAAAATTGTTATTCCTGGAGACAAAATACAAAGTGCTAATGAATCAAATGTACGCTTAAAGCGTGGCAGACCTGTAGGTTCCAAAGATAAAAATCCTCGAAAAAAAAGAGGAACAAATGAAAGGATTGAAGATTTGAATGTTAATCAAAACCCTCAAGAAACAGATGGTAACATGTATCAGATTTCTAGAGAAATTGATCCTGATAAACTTGATGAGGATGTTAACCCTAATAGAATTTCTTCTGAAGAGAATGAAATTATTGAAAATTCAATAATTATGTTACTACTGGAAAGCATTGGAACCGAAGTGATACAATTATGGATAATGCTTTTGCATATAATGTAGCACTTGATCTAATGGAAAATGACGAGGATCCAGAACCTAGATCAGTTGATGAATGTCGGAAAAGAATAGATTGGCCAAAATGGAAAGATGCGATCCAGTCTGAATTAAATTCACTGGCAAAACGAAAAGTTTTTGGACCGATTGTTCAAACACCTGAAGGTGTTAAGCCTGTTGGCTATAAATGGGTATTTGTTCGAAAGAGAAATGAGAATAATGAAATTGCCAGATATAAAGCAAGACTTGTTGCCCAAGGTTTTTCACAAAGACCTGGAGTTGATTTTAATGAAACATATTCTCCAGTAATGGATGGAATAACATTTCGATATCTTGTCAGTTTGGCAGTACATGAAAATTTGGATATGCGTCTGATGGGCATTGTAACTGCATATTTATATGGCTCGTTGGATAGTGATATATACATGAAAATCCCTGAAGGATTTAGTATGCCTGATGCATATAAATCAAAGCCAAAAGAATGTTATTCTATTAAGTTACAAAAGTCTTTGTATGGGCTCAAACAATCTGGTCGCATGTGGTATAATCGTCTCAGTGAATCATTATTGAAAGAAGGATATGCCAATGATTCTATTTGTCCGTGTATTTTTATAAAGAAAAATGGGAGAAATTTTGTAATAATAGATGTCTATGTGGATGACTTGAATTTAATTGGAACCCCTGAAGAGATCCAAGAAGCTATTGAATATTTGAAAATGGAATTTGAAATTAAAGATTTCGGGAAAACAAAATTTTGTCTTGGTCTACAAATTGAACATTTAGAAAATGGGATTTTGATACATCAATCTGCATATACCCAGAAGGTATTGAAACGATTTGCAATGGATAAAGCACATTCATTAAGTACTCTAATGGTCGTTAGAACTCTCGATCCTATTAAAGATCCTTTTAGACCAAAAGTGGAGAATGAGGAAGCACTTGGTCCTGAAGTACCATATTTAAGTGCTATTGGTGCACTAATGTATCTGGCTAACAGTACTAGACCAGATATTGCGTTTGCTGTAAATTTATTAGCCAGATTTAGTGCAATGCCAACACAACGACATTGGAAAGGAATCAAACATATTTTTCGTTATCTCCAAGGATCTATTGATCTTGGTCTATTATATCCAAAAGGATCTCGACATGAATTGATTGGATATGCAGATGCTGGGTATCTTTCTGATCCGCATAAAGCCAAGTCTCAAACTGGTTATATATTTACTTATGGCAGTACAGTGGTATCTTGGAGATGCACTATACAAACATTAACCGCCACATCTTCAAATCATGCAGAAATAATAGCAATTCATGAAGCAAGTAGTGTGTTTGGCTAAGATCAATTATTCACCACATTTTACAGAATTGTGGTTTGAAATCTGAAAATGATAATCCTTCTACTATCTTGTACGAAGATAATGCAGCTTGTATAGCGCAACTGAAAGAATGATATATCAAAGGAGATAGAACGAAACATATTTCACCAAAAATTTTCTTTACTCATGATCTCCAAAAAAATGGTGAGATAAATGTGCAGCAGATTCGATTAGACCAAAATTTAGCAGACTTGTTGACCAAGGCTTTACCGACCGCAACGTTCGAGAAATTAGTAAAGATCATCGGGATGCGTCGGTTGCAAGATTTCAAATGATGTCCACATCAGGGGAGCAATATTTCAAGTGATGTCCACAGTAAGAGAAGTATTTTAAATGCATGAATGACGTACTCTTTTTCCTTAACTAGGATTTTTGTCCCGTTGGATTTTTTCCTAGTAAGGTTTTAACGAGGGGTATTCATTGCAATTAAATGACACCTAAGGGGGAGTATTATGAGTCATTATTTATTTATGATAGGTGTCATCTTATTACCTTAACATATGTCTATGTTTGATGACTAATTGCAATAAAAATGGCTTATAAATAAGCCTTGTATCTAATGTAAATAAAAATGATTTTTCATTTCTTGATATCCTACTCTCTCTCTATCCTTTTTCTACTCTTTTTGTGAAATATATATATACTTTATTACACATCTATACATATACTATATATATATTACATATCATATATTTTATACACCATACACATATATATCTATTTTATCTTATATAAAATATATATTTGTTATATTTTATAACAATTAGATATACATATAAATTAATAGAAGTGCCATCACATAATACGATTCTATACAACATGTAATGTGCCATTATGTCATCATAGTTTGGTTTCTCTGTAAGTGCCAGTGATTCAGGTTTGGCTTCTTGGTTGCGCAGCGTTTGTTTTTCTGTCTACCCGTCTTCAATTGGCGCCCACACCGACATATTGTGCGCAGGTTTTTGGCTCATATTTTCCCAATTTTTCTCTGCTTCTGGTCTCCCCCATGGTTTCGGTAAGTATTGTGGTATCTCGGTGTTTTGGTATGTGTTTATAATTTTTGTCGGTTGTATTGGCTTAGTTGAGGTGGTTTGTTGAATGAGGTTACTATCCTGGTTGAGGTCGGGTCCCATGGATCCTTGTCTTCTCCGCGTCCCTCCTTCAACGCTGCAGTTGCTTCCAATTCACGCCCGCCAACTGCTCGTCAAAATACCCCAATTGCTTCTAACTCTTTCATTGATGAATTTAAGTCAGCCTTATCATCCAAAATATATTTTTATCACTCGGTCTGGTTCTAATATGATTTGTACAAAATCATAAGAAATGCAAGGCTACACTTTGATTTACAGTCTGACAATTGTTTGAAATACAATATTGCACAATGAAATTGGCGCACACACATATATATTGATTTATATTTGAGAAAAATGACTTGCAATATCTAGATGCATATTTATATATATTAAATAGTTTATATTTGAGAAAAATGACTTGCAACTTCTATTTAATCAATTTTTTTTTGGCATTAACATTGGTTTCTTTATATAATAGAAACAACAATTCTAAATATCCTTCTTTTATCTCTTGGTTTGTTATTGTATGTAATGTTGCAGTGGAATTGGTTGATAATATTTTATATTTTTACTCTTCAATATGATATATGTATACATAGATATATTTGGGAAATATTCACATTTAGTTTCCTAAACTTATCTAATATTACTTGAAGCATGAAAGGATGATTCATGAATGTGTTCCTACTTTTCTTATTTATTTAACTTAGGATTCATATTGTGTCTAGTGTTGGCAGATTGAAAGACACGAGGACACGATTTCAATTGAGTGATAATGGTTGCATTATCTTAATTTGAGAATCCAATAACAGTTTGGATGAATTACTACAATAACCTGTTATCGACTCTTCTATTGAGTATATTAGCATATGGCTCAGCAGCTTCAGTCTAAGTCGAACCCAAGTAATTACTCTAGGCTTCAATTGTAAAGTTAGCATTTGTATATCAGCTGAAAATATTGAGAGAATTAGATTAGTTTGGATAGTTTAAATTTCTGCAGAAATTATTAGTAGGACATCAGCATGTTAACCATTAAGTTCTACAGATGGCTAATTTTTGTTTTTGCTAGAAAATGTTTGTCTTTTACTCCATTTTATGAATAACTTTTACCACCATAATAAACAAATTTTAAAAGTGAAATGTTAGGTGTGAAGCAGCAACGATGGAATCTGTGCAATTGATTTGAGCTTGTTTTTCATTTTTCATATAAAAGTTCCTTGAATTATTTTTAAATGAGCAGCCTACATACGACATTCGAATAGGGTGAAATAACTCTGATATGCCTCTATTGATATGTAATATGTTTTCCTCATTTTGTGGCTGAATTCTACTTTCAATTTGCTCATATTGCTTTTTCAAGGATATAAAGATGAATAGAACTTAACGTTTGTTTAGATATATTTTGGGAGTTAGAAATTTTTGAATGAAAAAATAGGTGTTGGGATGTGATGTTTTAAATTGAAAATATATTTTTATTGTAATATTTTAAGTAAAAAAATAAGTGTTGGCATGAATTTTAGGAGATTTTTTTAATTAATAATTACAAAAAAAAATGTTAAAAACGTAAGTAAGAGAGCCTTAGCTTGTTCTTATAATGCAGTTTCCCTTTGTCTTCCTGTAATTAGACCCTTGATTTACTAAATGTAATATTGCATATGCCAATACATGATTTACTAAATGTAATATTGCATATGCCAATACATATATGGCTATGGGGCAGTTGAACCGGCCAAGTATCATTGTTTAGGGTGGAATAATTAAGCTTCTTGTATATCTTAGTCATGGCACTATGAAGAAATAGCTCATTAATTGTACAATTAATCTTTCCTCTTCTTCAGTGAGTTTTAATTTAGCTTTCATCATTGTCTCTCTAATAGATAAAATGATGTCTGATTTTCGGTAAGTTTACCATACCATTATCGAATTGTGGTTTAAGTTTTTACTTGTATTGGACTATTTGTAGGAATGTATAGTAATCTTGTTTTATGTCACAACATATTTCAGTTATATGGTTGGTTATGTCAATTTTTTTTCTTCTTCTTGTGTGTCGTAGAGCTGTAGATTAAGCATTTTGATGCTGTTACAAAAAAAATAATAAATAAAAATGAGAGTTGGTAGTGCTTTCTTATTGGATTTAGCATGAACTCAGTTACTCAAGTGTTCGAACGATATATACAATTTTTTTTGTAGAGCAAGACTAATTGAGGTATTCCAAATCACTGATGGAAAAGAAAGATTTAGAATTTATGACTGCTGCTCTACGTGAAAGACATTGATATGTTGTTTATATTTGTGTATATCCTAAATTACTCATTAGGCGATTAGTTCTAATTTTGCTTAATGTTTGTTCAACAGCCTAGGCATTTTCAAGGCCACACATTTAAAAAGCGAATATAGGTAGTCTTGTGCAATATTAGAATACATGGCAGTCAAAATTATTTGAATACATATGTAATAGAAAAAATAGGATTTTGGTTTCCTACCGAACTTAACTATTTTGAGTTGATTTTATCCATTGTATTGTTTATTATTCTTCTTCAATTATAAAGTTTAAGAATGTGACTGATAGTGTTATGTGATCTTATAGCAACAAAGTTGCGATTGATTTGGCATTTCTGACTCGGAGAAGTGCTAGTTATTTGAGTTTCAAGTTCTTTGGAGGTAGAAGTGCTAGTTATTTGATTTTTATTCAAATTTTTTGATGTAGCTCTTTGAATTAGCACATCACCTTCAGAAAACAATATGTGATACTTCGATGTAATGATTGTTGGTCCAATGTTGTCCCTTTATAAAGAAAGTAGAATGACATTTTTATGTTATCTTTTTCCTTCAAGAATGATATTTGCCTCTTGGGTGTATCTCATTATCTCAGTGTGGAATGCAATGTTCTCATTGTTCAACGTAGTGTTCCTCGTTGGAAAAAGATTTATTATTATGTTGAATTGAATTTCACTACCTTTACCCTACATCTATATTGGAGTTTTGTGTTGAGGGACAAATTTTGATATACTAGTTTGGTGCTTGCTATTGCAGTTGGTGATCTATCATTTTGATTGGATTCTACCTAATTTATATGTATATTGTTTATTTGATATGTGCATAGGACAAATATCAAATTTGACGTAATTGGCAGGAAAAGTAAAGAAAAATTCAGATTTGCACCACCTAGTTAGCCATGCCATGACTAACTATACCCTCATGACATGGGAATTTAATAAAAGCCCAAAAGCCCAGCTAAAAATTAATTAGGGCAAAAATTAAATAATAGGAAAGGATCACACGCAGAAAAGGGGAGAAAACGGCCAGAGCAGATACGCACAGGAGCAAGAAACTGACAGACTCATAAATCGCGCAGGAACAGGAAACTGACAGACTCATAGATCGTGCAGGAGCAAATCGACAGAAAAGATTTCCCCTCCCACTATGACTTTATCTTTCTCTATTATTTTTTATTATTTGATTATGGAGTAGATACTTTTCTGGTTGGAGGGGATGATAATGTTTTGGTTCTTATGTTTTGGAGGTTCCTGATTTTCTTTATAAAAGTTCTTTTTATTATCAATATTTGTTTAATCCTGAAAATAACGTTTGTGATTGTTAGATTGATTGGATATTTTGGTACCGAAATTTAAATTAGTTTGATAATCTAAAGTCAATTCAAGTAAGATATCCGTAATTGTATTCGCACTTGAATATGTGACAACCGAGTTGAATAGTCCCTTTTCCGGGGGTTAGACAATCAAATTTAATTGCTCATCTTAGGTAGTAATTGTTTTGAATTGGATTTTTTTAGATTATAATGCGATTAGGCAATATTTCCTATCGGAGTACCTAGGTTTATTAGCTTAATTAGGGGTAGTTAACTATCGTATCTTAATTACCTACACTGTAAGGAAAAATTGATTGTCAGAGCTTGTTGATAACTATAACCAATTTATTGATACTTTAATAGGAACTAACTTTTTGAATCAATGATATAACACAAGTGTCATAACTGCATC